ATTAGTAATATCAGAGCGCTTGAAGCACAGAAATCAAGAACTAATTAAAAAGAGAGCATCATCAGCCATCTGCTATTTATCTCCTCCTTCCTAAGTCAGCAGTTGGGCTGGAGGAAACACTGAAGTCGGCTCCTCTTCCAGCAGCTAATGAACTGGAGTGTGTCTTGCCAAACAAACTTCAACGGAAAAATACTAATTTATTAAGAAGGTAATTTATTTGCTGTGGCAGCTGGAGCAAGATGCTTGAAACAGACACCCCTGTTGGAGCTGTCAGAGGATTGCCCCTGGGAGCAGCTGCACAAATGGAGGTTGCTAATAAGAAAACAGAATGCAATCATGACTTTCTACTTGTATCCCCTGGGGTCAGATTCCGCATAAAGCAACATTGTGTGAATAAAGATTTTAATAAAGCAACATTGATGGATTGTTTAAGTCTCTCTCTCTCTTGTTCCAACATGTGGTGGGCTGAATGTTTAGACTGTTTTGCTACTGAAGTTTCATGGTTATTTCTTCACCAGTAATTATCGATGGTGTTTATTCCACTTATGTATTTCCAAGAATGGGGTCAAATGTGCAGGTTGTTTGCAAGAGCTTTGTTGGTAAGGAAAGATGTGTTTAAGAGGAGTGTCCCAAAGTGATGCAGGAAAAGAACCCATCTAGCTTTAAGTGGTCTTTGGAGATCAAGTATTTTTTGCTTTTGAAAGTGCATCCCATAGCTCTGCATCTGCAAGCACCAAGGCTGATTTCTTCGTTGTGTCCCAATAAGTTGGCTTTGTCATCCAGAGCAAAGTATGTATATTGATTTGGCAAGAGATGTATATAGAGTTGGCGTGTGTTGGTGGTTGGCTTTTCTAAGCATTTATTGAAGCCCTTTTATCAGACGGGGCAAGTAAACAACCATCAGTGCATCCCATAGCTCTGCATCTGCAAGCACCAAGGCTGATTTCTTCGTTGTGTCCCAATAAGTTGGCTTTGTCATCCAGAGCAAAGTATGTATATTGATTTGGCAAGAGATGTATATAGAGTTGGCGTGTGTTGGTGGTTGGCTTTTCTAAGCATTTATTGAAGCCCTTTTATCAGACGGGGCAAGTAAACAACCATCAAAATCTGTTCCCACAGAGTGCAGGGGTTTAATCTGGCTGTATCAGAGCTTGTTTTCTTCGTAACCTGCTGCAGTGAGTTTTTCAGAGGTAGGAGGTGATGCTCACAGTTCTGAGTGTCAGGCCTCTGCCAGCCACTGAGAGCTGCTGTGTACTTCTGAGGACTGCCTGAACTGCTGCCAGTCCCCATATGGCTCCTGGGGGCAGGACACCCCAAAACTGCCGAGGCACTGTGCCACTCCTGGAAATGCAGGAATGGTTTTTGACCTGGCCTGTAGCATCAGCGTGGTGTTGTGAAACACCAAAGGCACCTGCTTTTTTTCAAGCCAGAGTTTCTCAGTTGAAGCTTTGGACTTCAGCATTGCTGAATTTTGTAAGAACTAGTTTTGGGGGTTTATTTAGGGAGTTTTGGGGGAGGAAGATATTCTGGGGTTATTTGTCTCCTAGCATTGTGTAGTGACAATAATTTTTTATATCCTCCATCTCTATTTTTGAGGTGCCAATTTGTTCAGGGGGCGGGACAGGATTCTTGCTTGTATATAAGCAGTTCAACAACTTGAAGTTACAGGTGCTTTTAAGTTTTGAAAGGCTGAAATAGCTAGTTTTGAGAGCTGTTTTTGCAAGTACATTGTTGTATTACTGCTGTGTAATTTTGGAGTGGTTTGCCTTAGTAACGGGGTGAGAATTCGTATAACTGGAAGATTTTAAAGTGTTTCTGATTATGTAATGAACATAATTTTACAGAAGAATGAGCAGAAACAACTTTGAGACAATGGAAAACCAAAGGGGTTTGAAAATAAGCACTTTCCCTGAATTTCTTTGAAATTCTTTTGCTACAAATTTTTACTGATTTTTGAAAATTAGAAATGAAAATAAGTTCTTGGTTCATATATACCACGTGTGGGATGGGTGCTCTGTTGTTTTTTCTTTGTGGTGTCTCTCAATATTTTAAAGAGCCCGGGGATGGGAATTTGCGGGGCCCAAAAAAAGAAAGGAAAGAGGGGAAGGACTTCCTTTCTATCCTTTATTCCAGATCTTCCTTTTATTTAGTGATCTAATCCATAGCTGTGTTATACTGAGCTGCCGGAGAGCGACTCTACTCCTGCCATTTGTCAAGAGTTCATCTATGGATGTGCAGAAGGAATTGCTTTATGGAAACTGGAAAAAAACATAAAAGGATGTATGCACAGCATTTCCCTGTCCCGCGGATACAGCTTGTACTATAAAATCCTGGATTGCAAGGTTCCCTCTCAGTGTTTGCTTGTTCCGAGTTGTGTTAGGGCTGCTGAATAAGCCAGACAAAGGCACGTTTTTGTAGTGCTGTTTTTTCTTTCTTTTTAGATGATGTCTGCGCTGTAAGACCTGACTTGACTCAAGATCATGGATTTTTAATCGGGTGGTTGCTGCTCACCAGGACTGCTTTGGAATAACCAGTTGTGAGGTGAAAAGCCGTGCATCCTAGTATCGTCTCTGGGGCCGTGCATATCCCCACATCTACCTCTTCCTGCAGGACTGTCAGCCGAAGCATTAGCAAATACCATAGCCAGTGTTTGAGAATTCAGCAGAGGAAGCAGGAAAAAAAGGGGGGAAGAATATAATCCCAGCAAGCTGTAGCAGGGGATTGACTGCTGTTCTTCCGAGCCCCATCCTTCCCAAGTCAGGTATGAGCCAGTTCTCCTCCATGTAGCGCACTAGGATCTCTCCCAGTCTCCTGCAGCTTCCCGTCTAGTCCATGGGGATAATTTCCTCCCTAAGGCCCTGCAAAGGGAATTGAATTAGCTGGGGATGTGGATTTTTTTTTTTTTTTTCTTCCCCACACACACTCCAGTGCCTTGCTAACCTCAGAGCCAAGTCAAACAGGGTGTAGTTGGCAGGTTACTAAACAACTATTTTTATTTTCCCCTCTAGCTCTTACGATGGGCTGCACTCGAGCGAAGCTGACATCCCAGGAATTATGCCGTAGTCCTGTGGGGCTGGGCTGGTGTTGAACAGTCACTCATTCTGTCTTTCAGAATTTGCTTTTTTCATTTGAAACATGGAAGCATCTAATCTTTATGAATGCTGCCCCTTTTGATAAGCTTTCTTCATCTATAGCACTTATCCCTGGAAGGGTAGAGTTTGAATGTACAGCTATGAATTTTTTTATAAATGTATATAAATGCTTCAATTCAGATTATTTCAACTAGTTTTTAGAGGCTGATAGGTTAATTTGCTATGGCTACGGTGAGTTCAGTCTTTAATTAATTTTTTTAACGTGCAGGAGTTTTAGTTCTGTTTAGGTTATTGCAACTGATGTTAAGGTTTTAGCCTCACTGCTTTTTAAGCTGGAGGGAGCGATTACATCAATACCAGTATCTTTAATGCCGATGTGTAATATTTGTAGCCACCTGTAGATGGTGATATGCTCCACTCCACGCCTTGGCGGTGCTGGATCCCACTTCCCATCCACCTGAACGAGTTGAATTGCCAGGCTGGATGAATTGCATTTAATATCCTTCTTATTTTTATTTTTGTAAGCACGTGGGATAACCTTGAAATTCTTTCCGTGTCCAAGGCTTTCATCTTGGCCTCATCTTGGTTAGGATAAGTTGTGTGTGGACTTGCCCTGATGCTTGGTAACTTGTAGAGGTGTTAGTCTCTTATAGTAAACCAGCTTAAGGTAAAATGCAGGTTTCTGAGGCTTATCCACTTTTCAACTCCCACCCTCCCACCCCAGCTGAGTTTGTGTGTGTACTTGTGTCCAAAATCACAGCCAGGCTTTGCATAGGATCCTAGAATCTCCTACCAAAGCACAGGCAGCCAGCCCTAACGACTGTGCTTTCCCATACAGGAGGGGGTTTACAGCTTCTTGCAGAAAACTGGTTGTTGGTGAGCTTAGTGGTGGTAAGAGTTGTACCTCCGTTCTGGTATGTGATTTCATGGTGGTTCTGAGCTGATCTGAATTATTTTTATTCCTGGCTGCTTGAGTGGAGCCCACCAAACCTCTTAGTGTGTGGATGTACTGGTGTATGAAGATGCACTGGTGTAAAAGTAAACAGCAGCACTTCTGAGGGTTGATGAGGAATGACACACATCCAGTGTCACACAGCAAGCCCGTCCCAGAGCCGGCAGCAAAACCGTTTGTCCTACAGCTTTGATCTAATCACTAAACTGAACTCATAGCACAGCAGGCAGCAAACACAGCCCGGACAGCCCGCTGCCACTCCCTGTGTTGCCGATCTGACTCATCCACTTCCTCCTGCTCCTTTATTTATGCCTGTTGTCCTTTTGTGTCCCCTCGGAAATTACCCTGATGGACAACAACTGCCAACACCTCTTGCATTTGTGGCAGTGAAACTTCAGCTGAGCCGCCAGGGCTACTTAAAAAACAGATTATTTGCCTTCCCCGGGCATTTGTTGCTGGTGCCGCGGTGTGAAGGCTGCAGTGATGTAGCTCAGCGTGAGCAGGCTGGTAATGGTGTCCGGCAGCTTCCGTGGGCATCTCTCCAGCCTGGCTGGAAGAGGAACCACTCCCCTCCCCTCCAGTGAGGATCGGCAGGACCCGGGGAGAGGACATGCTCCGAGTTTTGTGCAGAACAGGGACCGGAGGGGTGCCCGGTGCCTTCTTTTTGGGAACAGGGTCGGGTTTTGTAGCGTGGCACTGGCCGGAGCTGTGCTGAGCCCAGCGCAGGGGAGTCCGCCGGGGTCTCTGTTCATGGGACAGGGGCCAGGTGGGCACCGGGCCATGTTTGGCGTGGTGGTGACACCAGCCCACAGCTTTCCCAGCGACTCCCAATTGCAGGCGGCCAGGAAGTGAGATCACAGCTCGGGCGGTTTAAGGGAGGCTGGGAGCCTTCGGACACCCAGCAGAACTGGGGCAGGGTCCTCTCCCACCCCGACGGGGATCCCCGACCCACCATCATGGGCCAGGACAGGCTGCTGTCCTGCCTGGGGCTGGCCTGCTGCCTGCTGCTGCTGGGTGACTCGGGGTGCCTGGGGAGCCGAGCGACGCCGTGGGGGCCCTGGGAAGAGGAGCAGGGCCCCGTGGCAGAGGGGGGACCGTGGGGCAGGGTGAGGTACGAAGCTGTGAAGAAGCACTTGGGAGCTGTGGGCGCGCTCTCCAAGCAGTATTGGCAGTATCTGGCGTGCAAGGTGTGGCAGGAGGGCTGTGAAGAAGAGGAGGAGGAAGAGTCCAGTCCCAGGCCAGGTAAGCACCTTCCTCCTTTCTCTCCCTCTCTTTAGAGGGGTTTAGATGGGTTCTAAACACCCCACTTCCTCCAGCATGGGGGGTTCTGTGCCCCCAGCTCCCGTGGATGCTGTCCTTCCCTTCTCTTCCCAAGGGTCGCTGCCTTGGACATCTCCCTCCTTGCTCAGCATACCCTGGGTTGCCACAAACACTCTCCATGCCTGCCTGAGCCAGCTGCTGCCCGTTACCTGCTTATTCCCCCTCCCCACAGCCCAGGCTGCCTGGTGGGGCAGTGTCTGACCCCCTCCACCTGGGAGGAGGGCTGTCGTTAACTGGGCTCAGCTGAGCATCCACACAAAATACAAAAGAAGACACTTGCTGGTACATCTCTGCTCAGACCTCTGCCTTTTCCAGGCTGGAGCTTGCCTCTGGTGGGCCAGGATTACCTGGAGATCCTCTCTGCCTGGTACTGCAGCTTCGGGAAGTGCTGCAAGACAGGAGACTGCAGGATAATCAACAATATCACAGGTAGGTGCTGTGCTCTACTTGGGAGACCCCAAGCAGTGCTTGCCTCTGCTGCTTCTCCCTTTTGTCTCTTCTGTTGTTTGCTTGTGGGCTTTTCTTCTTTTAAAGTCTATTTTAACAAGCAATGTAAGTAAAGGGCATTTCTGAGCAGAGTGCTGAGCTAGTGGGAAGGTGAGGGGCTGAGCTAAGTCCTGTTTCCCGTTATTCATTTGAAATTCTGAGACTGCAAGAGAGTTTGCTCCTTCCTGTGCAGCGTATCTGCTCCAGTTTGCTATGAGCCCTGTCTTCATCCAGTAGCTCCCAGGCATATGCAGTGGGATCCAAACTGGCCCGGTATCCAGCCTCAGGTCAGCAGGGTACACCCAGAGCTGTGGGTAAGCCCCGCGCAGATGTCATTGCATTTTGCTGTCCCTGAGACTTTTGGCATCCATACTCTCTGCTGGGAGCTTGTGAGGGCCTGTGGGCTTCAGTGTTCTCTGCAGTCATCAAATACCTCCTCCCCTTCCCAAAGGAAAAAAGGAGTCAGTGGAAGATCTGTGTCTTTTTGCAGTCAGTGGCTGATGGAAGCAGGGTATAGGCAGCCTGTCTCGTTAACCCTGTGCCTTTAATGTCGCTTCAGACACTCTTGACAGGCAGCCCCACCAGCAGGGCTGTGTGGGCTTAGTGCCTGACACAGTATCTCCTTTTATTTCCACCTGCAGCAGTAGCAGCAACGGGGCTTGCAAGTTAAAGCTGAGCTCTTGCTCTCTTTCTTGCAGGGCTAGAAGCAGACCTCAATGGGCAGCTCCACGGGCAGCACTTGGCCAAAGAGGTTGTCATCCGGGCGGTCCAAGGGTTCCTGCAGAGCCCACGGCCAGAGAAGCCTCTGGTCCTCTCCTTCCACGGCTGGTCCGGCACGGGGAAGAACTTTGTGGCGCGGATGGTGGCCGGTCACCTGTACCGGGATGGGCTGAAGAGCGAGTGTGTCAGGGTGTTCATATCGCTCTTCCACTTCCCTCATCACAAGTACGTGGACTCGTACAAGGTGAGAGCCAAAAACATGGTGTTGCCATGGGGACAGTCCAGTGTACTGGGTCTGGCTGGGATGGAGTTCATTTTCTTCGCAGCAGCCCATACAGCGCTGTGTTTTGGATTTCTGAGTAAACCAGCATCGATAGCACACTGGTGTTCAGCTACCACTGGGCAGTGCTTGCACAGTATCAAGGCTTTCTCCTCACACTCTGCCCTCGCAGTCAGTAGTCTGGGGGTGTGCAAGAAGTTGGGGGGGCACACACACTGGACAGCTGACCCCAGCTGCTCAGAGACTGGCTGGGCATCAGTGGTAGGTGTAAATGATTGCCTTTGCATCACTTTGATTTCTTTCTTTCTTCTTCCTCTTCCTTTTGTTTATTAAACCATCTTTATCTCGACCCACACTTTTACTTGCCTTTGCTCTTCCTGTTCTCTGCCCTGTCCCACTGGCTGGGAGGGACGGAGCAAGCGGCTATGTGGTGCTTCGCTGCCAGCTGGGGTTAGCCCACGGCATCCAGGCTCAGCCCCTGCACGATGGTCTGGTGGCAGTGGCTGCTGCTGAGCTGCTCACGCTCCTCTCTGCTGCTCTGCAGGCTCAGCTGAAGAAGCAGATAAGCGAGACCATGCAGCTCTGCAAGCAGTCCTTGTTCATCTTCGATGAGGCAGAGAAACTTCATTTCGGCCTCCTGAATGCCATCAAGCCTTTCATGACTCACTATGACAACAATGGCGAGGTGGATTACCGGAGATCCATCTTCCTCTTCCTCAGGTGATTTCTGGGACTCCAAAGGGATGGGGAGGAACAAAGTGATGGAATTTATCCCCTGAGGTGTGCGTTATGAGGGGCTCAGGCTGCAGAGGAGAGGAAAGAGATGTTTAGCTCCTCCAAGAGGTGGTTGCCTCCATGGTCAGTTTTGCTTATTGATGCTGGGCATCCTGCCTGGGTACAGGGCATTTGCAGGAGGACCTGAGGTCCACCTTAACTGGGACACCTGAGCCACTGTCTAAACTTTGAGACAAGGAACCAATAAGAGTCAGAGCTAGTGTGGTGTCCCCCTGCACCCTGGACAGCTGAGCAGGGAGATCCCATACTCCAGGGAGCAAAGCTGGGGCTGCAGGATCTTGGTGGGAAGTTCTTGTACAATGTGGCACTGGTAGCTGGGAGGGGGAGGTGGGGAGTTCCCACTGCCTGGCCGTGGCTGCAGGCTGAGGTGCCATCCGTCTGCTGCACTGTGAGGGCTGATCCTGGCATGGGCTCACCCTGTGGTTTAGTGATTGGAGGTTGGTCCCTTTCCCATCCAGAGGGAGAAAAGTTTTTTGGCATGTTTGCACCCCAGTGCTGTCCCAACCCAGGCCTAGGTGGGACACATCTCGGGGGAGAAGTAGGACATCTCAAAAGCGAGATGTGAGGTAGGCACATGCCTGAAGTAGCCAGTGAGAAATGCCAAGGAGAGGCACGTGTCTTGGGCCCCCTTCAATTTTGGATTTACAGCCTTCAGCTTGGCTCCAGCAAGAGGTGTTCCAGGCGAATGTCCTAACCTCCAAGCTTGGTGATTCCCCAGGGAAGTTTCTCTGCCCATGGAAGACCTGTATCTGTGCCGGGCACTTGTGGAACTGGCTACATTTCAGTCCTACCCGTGTGGGCCTCTGGGAGGAGCCATGGTGGAGGGAGCAGATTCTCCCTTGTTGCTTGGGACAGAGTGGGATGTGCTGCCAGCTGCGCTGAGCTGACCTTGTGTCCTACCTGGCAAGCCGTGCAGGTGTTGGGGGGTGATGTCAGTCCCTTGGTGCCACCAAGCAGAGGGGAGCAGGGTGCCTTGAACTGCAGCAACGTGTAATCCTGGGGGGGTTTCATCATACCTGGTGGCAGTGTGACACAGACCTGTTATAGGAGAGCTGGCTCTGGCCTGCAGCTTTGGCCACGTTTGAGTGGTGGGGGTGAGGTGGGACTGGCTGCCTGTCCTCAGTCAAAAGGGGCTGTTTCTCTCATGGGTTTTGTGGGAGCAGGAGCAGCACAAGCTGTTTCACCCCCACAAGGCAGTGGGGGGAACACTGGTGGCTTTTTAATTTTGCCTCACCTCTGTTTGAGGAATGGGTCCAGAGCCTCTGGCACAAGAGGAAAGACGGGTGCACTGTGTCTCCCAGTGTCTCTCTGCTTCCCACCTACACAAGCCCTGCAGCCAGCTGGTTCCCAGTATCACCAGCTCACTGGTGGTGGGGCAGTCAGGACTAGGGGTTGTTGTCTGAGGCTGTTGCAAACCCTTCGGCAGCACGCGGGGGCTGCCTGGCCTTAAACCGTTTTCTGAGGCGAGGGGCTGCCCAGGAGCCTTAATGACTGTCAGGACCCACATCCCCCACCACAGAGCTGCCTCCAGAGTGGGTGTCCAGAGGAGTCCTCACACGGGAACTGCGCTGTTTTGTCCCTCAGGCAGCGCATGCTTTGCCAAGTCCTGGGCTCCCACTAGAATCCCTGCCCTGGACCTTTACTTCTAGTGGGACTGCTGCCACGCACGCTGCCCTACAACTTGGACTTTCAGGGGTGGCTTGTTGAGAGCTTGGTGTTGAGCCAAGTGTCACCTGCGAGGTCGATGGCATCCAAGCCAGAACAGGGGTCTGATGGAGATGGAGGATTTTGCTGGTTCCTGGTCCTGCCCTGTGAGAGAAAGCAGCTGCCCCAGGGTCTGGGCTGACAAGAGGGAAGATGGCTGTATAGACACCTATAGAAAGGGGCTCTTTGGGAAGATAGCTTGTTCCTCTGCGAGTGTTTCAGATGCTGATCCTAAATGGTAAATCTTTATTGCTAGCAACTGGTGAGACCTGTCTGTAGGGGAGGCTGCTGGTCACTCTCAGCAGTTCATCTCTAGGGGCACAGTTGAGTGACTTCCCTTTTGTCTGCAGCAATCTCGGTGGCAACACCATCAATGAGGTAGCCCTGGACTTCTGGCGAGCTGGTCGGGCACGGGAGGAGATCTCCATGGAGTTCCTGGAGCAGCGGCTGCGGCTGGAGCTGCAAGAGCCTGCAGGTAAGAGCCGGGCTCGCTTGTGGGATGGTGTGGGCAGGCTGCCCGCAAACCTGCCCCTCTGCCCCGGCTCAGGGCTTTGCTTACGCAGTCCTATCCCCCCTGTGCTGTGGCACCAGCCTTTATTCCAACAGGCACACCGGGAGGGAGCTGTGAGTCCTCCTTGCCCCCTTCAGCCCTGAAAACGGCCAGGTTGCGAGGCAGCCTTACACCGCAGGGAAGTATCAAGGCTTCTCTGAGGATTCAGGCTTTTCTTGGCCTGAGGTGGGCAAGCCACGGGGATGCTCTGTGACCAGACTTAAGTGCTTCACAAGTGGAAGGGTACCTCTCTCCCATCACATATGGGTGGATGAGCCAAGACAGCCCCCCCAGGGAGACAAGCCCCCTGACTCGCAGAGGGATGCCAGCTCTCAGATGAAGCTTCTGAAGTTTTTGCCTTGCTTTTTGCTACAGAGAGCGGTTATGCCCGCAGCCACCTCCTCAAAGAGAACCTCATTGATTTCTTTGTGCCTTTCCTGCCTTTGGAGTACCACCACGTGAAGCTCTGCGCGCGGGATGCGTTCCTGGCCCGTGGACTTCGCTACACTGAGGCAGCCCTCGACGAGGTGGCCAGGATGATGGTGTTTGTCCCCAAAGAGGAGAAGCTTTTCTCTGCACAAGGATGTAAATCTGTTTCCCAGCGCATCAATTACTTCCTTCCTTGAACACCAGGTGGGAGGACTACACCAGTGGGTGACTGGTGGTTCTGCATGCTGGGAGCTGCTCTCCTTGTACAAGGTCTGGCAAGCAGATTACCCATCAGGCAAGCAGATTACCCAGCCACACTTGCACAGGGACAGAGACTTAACCCCTTGTTGCTCCGAGGGCTGTTTGCAGGGACGGAGGTGCACCCCACCCAGCCTTACTGGTGGGACATGGGGACAGCCTGCGCTTGGCTGTGTTTGAAGTCTGTCTGGTGTTTTAAAGTCCCTTCCTTTAGCAGGTAGTAACCTGAAGTGATGATTTGGTTGTGCTGTGACAGACACTTTGTTTCCCGTGAGCAGGGATGTCCAAGTCCTTGGTTCGGTACCATGTAGTGAAGGCCTTGGACAGATGGGTCCCGTTGAGACAGCCCAGCAGAAGCTACGGCCTCATCCCGGTCCCCGCTTTTCTCTGTCACTTTACAAGATTGCACAGAACTCTTTTGCTGGAGTCGAGTTTTTTTTCTCTATTGCTCTCCTGCATTCACACAGGGTCTGCTGCTCAGGGACATGCATGCGAAGGATCATAGGCCCTTGCGTAGAGAAAACGACTGAATAATCTCCTCTGGAGATGTCAAACCCGTCTGTCCCTCTCTTGTTGGAGTCTTCCGTTGTATGGAAGCAGCTGCAGGGATGAGGTGAACTTCTGCTGAAATAATTTTTCTAAGTAGTTTGGTGAAGAGCCTCTTTGTTTCATTGTGAAATGAAATAGGGGAGACTAATTCTCCTTTCAAGGGCAAAGGGCAGTTGAGGAGGATGGTGGCTGAAGGAACAGGCTGCAATTGAAGTCAGGTTTTCAGAGATGCCGTAAGCTTGGGAATTTTTTTTTTTTTTCCTTCCCCCCTGCCCAGTACATTGCATGCTGTGGGGTGGGGGTTTTTTTGGCTGGTATCAGCATTACTACACCAAGGGGCTGTTTGCTGTCTGGGTACTTGCCAGGTGATAAGTACGTTACAGCAGGACCAAAAAAATTTCAACAGCATTACGGGAATCGCTTTGTGACCTCTAGGTCAAAACTCCCTTCCAACACTGCTGGGCTTGGGCGATGAGGTGACACAGCACATGCCAAGGACGGGGCTTAGCTCCCGGAACACCCCGTGTGCGGACCTTTGATCTATTTGAAGCTTTGAACCTCTCTGCGATGCCAGCAATGAGCAGCACGACCTCTGGGAAAAGATTGACCAGACACACTTACTACTCCTGCAGACTTTGAGTTTGTGTTTCCCTGTGGGCACGCTGACTCCGTTATCTAACGAGGCTTCATAGTCCAAGGCACAAAGATGAGCCAGCTGCTTTCTTACTGCTCGGCCGATGCAAAGTTAGTTTAAACTTACCTGGTGCCTCTAGCTTGGTTGGACCTTAGGGCCTGTGCTGTATTCAGACATTTCTTAGATGTGGGTTGTTTGTTTTTTTTTTTATCACCTCGGCAGAAAGTTTAGAAAGTTGTTAGTTAATTGCAGGTTAGTTGCTAAGAAGGATAAGCCAGGATAAGCTACGTATAAGCCAGGATAACCTATGATTTTTTTTTTTTATTTTTTTTTTTAATAGAAAAGAATCTTCAGCTGTCCGGGTTAGACTGATGATGTTTAGAGTGGGAGGGAGTCGCTCTGTCAGCCCTTTCACCGTGGGGCTGGTATGAAGGTGGCAGGTTAAGCAGGTCTTACTCTGTTACCGATTAAGGAGGTGGTGGTGTTACTAATGAGGGCAACTGTCAAACTGATGATGCAAGACTGCGCTCTGCCAGGTCACATTCATGTATGTTTAAGAATTAAGTGAGCGTTTGATTACGCAACCCCAACAGCAAGCACCGCTCTCCTTACACCGCTCCACGGCAACATTGATTTAAAGGCATAAATAAAGATACTGCTTTTCTTTGCAATCTGGCAGAATTAAATGATTTCCCCTTTTAACAGGGTTATAATCATCTTGTCTTTTCTACTCAAAATAACAAACTTCAGGTTAGTGCCGAGCAGTTTCAAATATTCCTTAAGAAAAAAAAGCAGTATACGGTCAAGTGGATTTTTTTGCCAATAAAATATTGCAACCTTTATTTAAAACAAAATGCAAATTGGCAAAACTTTGTGGAACGACAGGCAAAGAGGCCCTTCAAAGGGCCTTATTTACATCAAGTTTAACACTGTTCGCAGTTCACAGTCAGACGATAGTGAGAGAATTAAATTAGAAAAACAACCAAAATATATTACAATAACAATTAAAAACAAAAACAGTTGACAACACTGGTAGAGTGATTGGTGATTAACGTGATTCATTTTAATTCATTCCTGCCCTCAACGAGTTCACTACTGATACAAACAGCGTGCCGTGCCGAGCCGGCTTTACCTCCCATGCGCTACAGACGCATTTGGAAGAATGACCTCCTTTGGTACAGACATTTCTTATCATGTAGGTATTATAAATAAGACAGGTGTCCCGTAACCTCTTATTTCCTACCGCCAGGGAAGAGGCTGAAGGTTTTGTTCTACTCCACGGGCAACTGGAGTGCAACCCCAGTGCCCATCTGTGCTGGACGGTGCCACTTGTGCTAAAGTGGGAGGTTTCCGAGCATGCTGTAGTCGCCACCCTTCGGTTTTCCTGCTACTGATTAGTAGCGGGCCTGGGCTGAGTGTTATAAAAGAGAAGACAGCAGCCTGATACATTCGCAAAAAAGATCTTCTGGATTCGTTAGTGCTTGTTGCAGCTGCTGGTGCCCAAGAGCACCGACAAGCAAAATGCAGAGCACCTCAGCTGCTGGGGAAGCCTGAGCCTGCCTTAGGTAAGCGGTACAGACATCGGGCTCTGGATTTCTTTCCTCTGTGACTGCACAGCGTAACCCATCCTACCTGCTCACACACCCGCTGCTTTTTAGGGAGGGGCTGCTCTGTTCACGCAGCAGTTTTGGTGCAGCTATTGCCCCACGCCGCAGGCTTTAGTTCCTGCTGCCTGCAGAGCCGTGTGCCATACAACTCTTGGATAAACACACCTGACAGGGTGTCAATATGTGTGTGTTTGACTGTCTCTCGCTGGCACAAGGCCAGTGGTGGTCAAGAAAACTGTCCTGTGTGAGAAGAATGGGAACAGAAAGCCCTTCCCGCCCCTTCCCCATCGCGTTCTGCATCACCAACGCTGCTCCGTTAAATTCTGCTCTCCCAGCGGCTAAATTTGCAGTCCCAAAACCCAGACTCTTAATTCAGCTTCACCCCTTTCCACGCTAATGAAGAATATAATTAAATCAAAGTGCTGCCAGTCTGACAGCCGAGTGCACCACTTCTGGGGTTAAAAAGGGTGTACAGTGCAGGAAGAAAAGAGAATTGCACCTGTGAGGCAGCCAATTCCCCACAGGAGCTAGGAAGAGAAAGTGCCCCAGGTCAACTCACTGGTGTGAGTGCATGCTTTGTGCTTGGCATTACCAGGCCCTACGTGACACCATCCCCTGTTGCAAAGACGACTACTTTAAATTCTATCCCATATTAGTGCAAGTGAGAGAGCCCGGCTGCAATTGCATCCTTACCCCACGTGAGGAAAGGAAACGCAGTATGAGTTTATGCCTTGTCCCCTACCCTGAACAGTGGAGCAAGAGGTGCTCTTCACAAGGACAAATGATGGGGCTTCACCATCTTTATGCTACTTTGAACATACTGTGCAAGGCTGAAAGCAGAGAAGCTGCTACGGTAGAGACCTTTAAGGCTGAACAGAAAGCCGAACCTAACAAAACGGAGAAGGAATGGTAACAATTTTAGGGGAGTAGCTGTGGCAGGAAGAACTGAATGGTGGTTTACAGCAGAACCAGCTTTCTCAGATACCATCCTTTTGCTATCCTGCCAGAGGTCAGGAGAGAATTCCAGTTTGGGAATAAAACACTGTTGGGCATCAGAAGCGGCAGCAATTCTGCAGTCTCCTATTCGGGGGGGGGGGAAATAGTGTCAAGTCAGCACTTCCTCTGCCACCATCCGCCTACCTGATGTGAGTAAGACAAGAGGTAAAAGCAGAGAAAAAGCTCTCCAGAGGAGCGGTGACAGGGAGATCCCCTCTTTCCACTGTTGTGTGTTCTCCCTCCCCTGGAGGGATCGGAACTGAATGGGCTTCTGTGTTGCCCACAGCGGTTGTGGAGTCTCCATCCTTGGAGTTGTCTGGATGTGGTCCTGGGCAACCTGCTCTAGGGGACCCTGCCTGAGCAGAGGGTTAGACAGGGGGACTTCCAGAGGTCCCTTCCAACCTCAGCCATTCTGTGACTTTGTCCAAGCAGATGGCTGCTTCAGCTGTGTTACTGCTCGCTGCTCTGTCCCTCTGCCCACACCTCTGCTGTGGGGGAGGAGAAACCAGGCGGTACCTGATAGGAAACGGGGATGACCAGCGGAGGGCCTACCAGTCCTTTGTTGGGGCACAGTGATTTTCTTCAGAAAGGGCTGAAAAAGGGGTGTTTTAGTAGTTCGAAATTCCAGGCCTTGTTTGCTATTCTACCACTTTTGCTGAAGCTTTCCTGGAAGACTGGCACTCAGGGAAAAGAAAAAAAAAAAAAAAAAAAAAGGCCTTCTTTCAAAATACTCATCAGAATGGGACTAATAGCCTTAAAACTTTCTGGTTAAAATACCCTTCCCCTGAGAATCACTTCAGTTTGAGTCTGTTTGTCCTAGGCTGAAGAGTAGTAGTACGAAACCACGCGATTGTCTGCCAGGGCAAACAAGACCTGCCCTTCTGCCCCGAAGAAAGCTCCCACTCCCATACCTTTTCAATCCTTTTGATTGTTTGAAAGGCCATGTGAAGCAATACCACAAGCCGCCTTCCCTTTGCAGGTCACCTTTCCGAAGGCAGCCAGTTTGGTGTGCAGCGATGCACACCTTCAATAAAGATGACTGAAAGAGATAAGGTAAACCACAAAAGCCCTCGGTAAAGTCTACAAGATAACGGTTTGGTACTCAGCCTCACGGCTGGGCTGAGCGGTGCTGTGAAAGAGCCTGGCCTTAAGG